ATTATATATATATATTATTGAAATATATATATTGTTATATATATATTGCACTATAACAACGAGTCGGATGAAGATTTCATGCATGATCTACTGAATATAAATGTTATTCGTTCTTCCTAAATCGAAAGAAAAGATTCTTTTGTTATCATAGGTCTCGAAGGAAAGTATTGTTTTGACGAGTCCGACTCGCTATAGAAATTTCTAGTAATAACTTATTGAGTATAGATGTTATTCTATCCTTAAAAATTTGAATAAAATTCTAATCTCTTGTCACATCAATATTTAAGCATTCGAGTAAATTTAGGCACACGATAAACATCAATTTTCTTTCTCTTCTAAGAAATTATCGCAATCGAAGAATTTTGCATCGCAGTAACTGCGAAGAAAATGGTACGTTAAGTGATTAATTTTAAAATGTTTGAATTCAATAGTAATTATTGTTATCAGCGCATAAATATTTAAACCTTTCGTTTAAAATTTCGTCAAAATAACCTCAACGAAATAGTATTAGTAAGTATATTATTAGTATATTATTAGTAAACTGCGATTGTTTATGCAAAATAAAAATTTTCCAAGAACATTGTAAGAAAAAGATATTAAATAAAAATAAATTGTTTCTTTTAATCATTTTGACTAGTTGAACACAACGTAATAATATTATCAAATTCTTCCGATGTCTTCGCTATTTTATGTTTCGGCTACTCATTTTTGCCATAAGTGCATAAAATCCGCTGTCTAGTTATTAAATTTAACGAATCAAAGTAAATGAAGACATACAAGGAACAAAAGTTGTCTTATCAGACAAATTATCAGACAAATTATTATATATAATTATTATTATATATAAAGATAAAGATGTTAATCAATGCAATTTTGAAATAAATCCCAGCGCAAGGAGTTAAATAAACACAAATCGGACACACTAGCGAAAAAATTGCTATTACGTAAAAACACAAACTCCAAATTCGTTCTCAGCAAAAAACAGCGATATCATGCATGGGTCTTTCTCCTTATACATCGCCGGGTTATAAGATAGTGCAACCGGTTATAGTGATGCGACCAATTGCTGTGCCTTTGGTTTGATTTCGGGCATAATTAACTTATATTTATCAAACAAAATATATGCAAATTTTGTATTCTCTTATTCTGTTTATTTCTGAATAAAACGATAACTGAATAAAACTGTAAATATAATATAAAGATAATTACACTCGAAAGTAAGTCGAAGGCACAGCAATTGGTAACCAAACAGTAACCGGCCCAGCGGAGCGACCCTAGTAAGCGACCCTAGTAAGGAGAATGAACCGGACACGCACAAGGCGAGAGAATGAACGTAAGGAAAAGATGCTTTGTCGCAGGGGTTACTGCGACGGTTTATATAAAATAATCCGAGAGAGTTTTTTTGGTTTTTATATAACGAGAACTTTAATATAACTTGTAACAAAAGGCGATGAGGTACAGTGTGTAGAAGGTAAAGGTAAACGAGTGACGGATGAGACAGAAATATGAACACGTTGAGAGTCGGAGGAAAACTTGCTAACTGACTTCTCCCGGTCGAGAGGTCCTCGTATTTATTGGGGAGAGCGTATTGAAATTGGTAAGGGAAAGTCCTTGGGAAGGGCGAAGGCCTTTCCCGAAGATTTTCCGACCGGGGTGATCCGGGACCTAAGGTCCGAAGCTCTGTGTCTCGTCGTTTTTATTGTTTTATTGCGGTGTGTACGCCTTGCGTCGGGAAAACCCGAAAAAGGCATATGCACACCCCGCTTTTGAAGGACGTGTCTTTTTATGTCTGGTCCGCCACAATGCTCCATCGAGTTGTAAGAAAGAATCGCGTCCCGGTCACCATCTAACGGGACGAAAAGGAGATTCATGATTGCGTTACAACGATAAACAGAGTCTGGCCTAGATCCAGTCCGTGTTTATCGCTGAACCGGCAATCTCGTCTCGTAGACGCGTGATCTAGGGTCGGCCACAAAGGGGCTCCCTATTGTTCCTCCCGCGACAGCGATATGTCGTACGAGTTTTGAACGTACGAGTGGCTCCCTTTGTCGAGTATCTGATAGTGGGGGCCCTCCCTCGCCTCGCCCCTCCCCCCAGGCCCCCTTGAGTAACGCTTCGCGATACGTTTCGAGCCGAGGCTCAAGAAAGTTTCACCGAATCGATCGGAGCGGCCGAACCTCCGGCTAACCGATACGATAATTCGCTTCGGAGAGTGTAGAGAAGAGCGAATCGACGATTTTTGGTCCGATGTTCCGACAATTTTCTAACAATGGCTCGGCAAGCATCGAGGAATTAGGGAGGCTTAGTGATCTCGCGTGAGTATCATCCGATATTTCAAAAGATCGACAATTCCAATGAGGATGTAAGATGAATGGTTTCTCTTGTTTTACGTGATTGCAACTCTACAGCGATGTTTCAAATGTCAATTTGAACTTGAAAACGTTTGATTAACGCGCCTCATTTTTTGTAAATGAGAATTTTCATTGAATACTCTTCCCTATAATACATAATACTACTCCCTAGAATAGTTCTCCCTAATTGACGTTCAGCTTGTAAACAAAAATGGGCAATTTCGGAAGAGGAGATACGATTATTCGAGCCTATATATATTTTTATTTCTATTTATTTTTACTTATACTTTATACTTTTTTTATTGTCCATTTTTGTCGTACAATCTGAGCGTCAATTAGGGAGAATTTACTGTACTATGAAAATGAACTAGCTGTTAGGGAAAATGTTTTACTTATTATCTGTTTCTGAGTTTCTTACATTAGTTAGCTGACAATGCTGACTTTTCTCCCTAATAACTATGACCGACGCCAATTATATGTGATTAGTGGGCGACTACCTTCGCTATTTTTGCGGCGTACAATTTTGTCCACTGAAGAAAATTTCATCCTGTTCATTAGGTAATCTATTGGGTTGGCAACTAAGTAATTTCCGATTTCAGTTATAGATGTCTCCCACTCCCATTTTTATGATATCCGTAAATGTTATATTATAAAATTATTATTATTATTATTATTATTATTTTACACAATGACAGACATTTTTCCCACTTCTTCATTCCGACAAAATTTAACGACGACTGGAATTAGCATAAACATCCTTAACACGTTGGATGCCATGATGGTCACCGGTGACCGGCATTTAACACTAAACCTACCAAGCAGTAATACTAACTGGCATGGACTGCTTCACAAAAGTAAGAAGACCGAATTTATTTGGAATTTGTAAAGTTTTTATTATAAAACTTGCTTCAATAATATTGACTTGGCAACTAAGTAATTGCCGATTTCAGTTATAGATGTCTCTCACTCCCATTTTTATGATATCCGTAAATGTTATATTATAAAATTATTATTATTATTATGTTATGTATATCTTGTCATGATTTCTATTGGGTTGGCAACTAAGTAATTGCCGATTT